GAGGCATGGGTCAGCTAGAGCTTTGGGGGATTAGTACCAAAAGGCAGTAGGGGAGGAGTGATTAGGGCACAATCAGTAGACTCTGCTGTAGTTTTGATATTTTAAGCTGCAGATAACAAATAACTCACTACCATCAACAGTAAGCTTACTTCTAATCTCACAACAGCTCGAGATGAGGTCCCAGGTGTCATTCAGTCGCTTTATGAAACTAAGGACCCAGAATCTTGCCATCTTTCTGTCCCACCAGCCCTAGCCTGTGGTTTCTGTCCTTACCTTTGTCACCTTACGGTCACTAGGGGGCCACTAAATTCTATAAATCACATGAAAACGCAAAAACCACACTGAAGAGAGCACCGCTTCCCGCACACACCTCTATATTGGAAGGAAGCTTGTCGCTGGGAGTCCTCCTGTCCCGTCAGACTCCTGCAGTCGGCCTCCAGGACCGCCTCAGCAGCAGAGGCAGCTGGACAAGTGAGAAGCTGTCACTTTAAGTCTCTGTAGACAGGACGTGCTCTATAAGCAAGGAAGGGAGCTGACATGGCCACCAGAGGCATCTGTAAGCGTCCCCCACTCTGTGGCACAGCCACCAACAGCCTTTCTCTTATTCCAGTTTCTGCATCTTCCCACCAGGGACTGTTGGTTCTGCTGTGACAAGTGCTTATTAGAATTAAATAAGTCGTTGATCCCAAGCTTGGCTGGTGGGCAGCAGACACTCTCCAAGTGTGCACTTTCCTCCATGCCCTTCCCAACAGTCAAGGGAGCCCTGTTTTGGAATACTGAGGAAAGGCCCTGTGGTCCGGGTTGCTATGATGCCAGCATCCTCGCTGTCATTCACACACACAACAGGTTCCTTTCAAACGTTAGACCATTTATGTGGGCACAGTGTGTCCAGCACATTCCATGAGCCCAGACTAATCAAAGCTCCCCTAGAATCAGTTCTATTTATAGCATCTGGTTTCTCAAGTTTGTGGTTTCATGATCATAATTGTTAGTGTCCACATAGCCATCTCTATGGATACCAGGTCTATCCGAAGTCCTTTTCAGAAATCTGTGCAAACATATTCATAAAAGCCAGGTTAGTTATGGCCAGATGGGTTCTGACTTCCTTAAAATCAGTTAAACCTCCTTCAATGGTGTAATCCTGATTCAGCTCATGAGATCCTGCGTGGAAGCCTCCTCCAGACCCTTCTCCCACCAAGCCCCGCCTTGCTCTCTGCTCTAGGACACCTGTGCTGCCCTCCAGCTGAAGCCATGCTCCCTCTCACCCCTGCCCTCTCTCTTCTGAAAGTGCTCTCCCCACCCCTTGTTGCCTAGACCCACGGAGACATGGTTCCATTCTTAGCTCGGTGGCACCCGGGGAGCCCTTCCTGATCACCCAAGGAGAGCAAATCCAAGGGCGCTGGGTACTCACACCACCTTCCAGCAGCCATTGGAGGGTTCTTTACAAGGAGTGTGTTATGGTTTAGATCTGGAATGTCCCCAAAGCTTGTGCATGGGAGGCTTTGTCCCCAATGCAGCAATGTTCTGGGGGTGGGGCTTTGGGACAGGGATTGTGTCACGAGGGCTCTTGCCTCTTCAATGAGTCAGGCCACAGGGGGACTCACAGCTGAATGGGCAACTGAGAGCTGGCGGAAACTGCAGGAGGCGGGGCCTGGTGGAAGACAGCAGGTCCCTGGGGGTGTGCCCTTGGGGACTATGTCCTACCCTGGCCCCTGCTTCCAGCTGCCATTGCTAAGTGGCTTTGCTCTTCCACACCCTCCGCGCCACAATGATCTGCCTCACCACAGTCCATGGTGATGGACCAAGTGACTATGGGCTGAACTGTGAGCCAAAAGAAATCTCCCCTGGTTAAAGTTTTTTTTTTTTTTTTTAACGGTCATTTGGCCATAGTGACAGAAAGTTAACACAGGGTATTAGTACCTCTGTGCCCTGGCCTGCACAGGTCAGCAGAGCAGGGGCAGAGAGGGCCTCCGAGGCCAGCACTGGCTGTCAGCCCACGCCAGGGCAAGAGGGGCCAGCCCGGCACTGATACTTCTGTTCCCAGGGACGCATTGTGCATTATTCATGACTGTGTTGGTGGCAAGTGACAAAAACAAGTTTAAACACAAACTGGAATTTATTTTAGGCACAGCAAGACCCAGGGGCTCACCTCATGTCCGCGCCTCAGCACGTGGGACAGACCCTTTGGATTAGTTTCCTGTAGTTGCTGTAACAAGTCCCCACCTACCCAGGGGCTTAAGGCAATAGTCCTGAGGTGGGAACTGGCTTGTGGGGCACAAAGAAAAGCAGGGATCAAGCTGGAGCTCAGGAGCCCAGGTGCGATGAGCAGAGCGGAGGGAGGGAGAGGCGTCTCCAGTCTAGGCCTTGGGAGGGATCAGGAGGGAGGATGGATTTCATCCCAGATAACATTGAAATAGCAGGAGCTCTAGCAGGCTTCTGGGAGCAAGGGCAGGGTCAGGAGCAGAGAAGGGGCTGTTGCCAGGCAAGAGGAGAGCTCGGCTCCGCTCAGGTAGAGTGGACTCAGGACATCTGGCAGAGAAGACAGACTCCCTGAGGACTGCGGCACAGGAGGGCAGCAGCTGGGGGCTGGGAAGGGAGACCCAGAGCTCTGCGTCAGCTCGGGGGCCTTGAGGCATCGCCCGTTTGAGGCTGTGTGGCCCTGGGCATCCACGTGGAAAACAGGTGAGCAGCTGGATGTGAGCCTGAGTCCTGGAAAGGAGGCAGACTGGGAACAATGCTACCAATTGTCACTCAGTCAAAACATACACACAGGCTTAGCCCTCAAGTGGGCACAGACTTCTCCAGACTCTCAGAGCATGTGGCCCAACTCACACTAACCCCAACCTACCGGTGGGTACATGCACTCTCCCGCAGGGACCACGTGCCAAGGACACAAGGACACAAACTGGTATTTTGGCAAAGAAACAGCATGGAAAAGACCATCAGTGAGTTCTGACGATAACAGCTGGAACACAAGGACAACATGGTTCCCAAATTCTTTGTACCCTCCTTTGAAATCAAAGTGGGCTTGTGGCTGCTTCGCCCAGTGGGTGGCCGAGTAGCACCGTGTGACTACTGAGGCTAGGACACTGGGACACTGGCATCCTCAGACTCCATGCTGTGAGGAAGCCAGGCTAACAGAGGCCACCTAGATGGCTCCAGGGGGTGGTCCTGAGATTGGAATTTAGAGATTCAAAGAGATGGCTGAGTCTCCAAAGAGAAATGTCTATAAATTCCTGGAATACAGAACGGACAGCTAGGAGCCACCCGCATCCTGGGGCAAGTCCTCGCCTGAGGCTTGCAGGTTGCCAAAAGACAGCAAAACTGCAAGATGACTGCAAGCCATCCGCAGGAGCCCTCCTTCAGGGAGCGTGTACGTTGAGGCTTTGGTACTGAGAGACGGCCCAGCCTCCTTATAATAGTAGGAGATTTAATGAGACACAGGAGAGACGCCGAGGTAGGAAGGAACAAGATTAGAACACGTGAGGGCCCTGCGCAAGGCCGGGGACCAGCCCTGAACCGCCCTGGCTCAGCCCTTCCTTCAATGTCCCCCAGTCCCACCACAAGACTGGATATGTCTGCACAGATGATGGTGGGGCTGATCTGCCCCTGTTAAGGCTTGGAGGCGGCCAGAATCTCTCCTGGGACCTGTGAGCAGTTAATTGTCAGGAGCTGAGCTATCAGCCGGGATCATAGTGACTTTTATTTCACGTGATCTTGGCAGACTTTGCTTAAAAACTCTTCTGACTGGTGTTCTGAGTTGTAAACCTCTTACTATAAAAACCCATTCATTCACTTGGGCTCTCCTGTGGAGAAAGAGTCTCTATGATCCACATTCCCTTTACAAAGCCACTTTTTTGAACTGTCGTTAGGTAGACAACTTCAGAACCCAAGTTGATTTCCCCAGGTGAGTGACGTGGTTAGAATTCAGGGTTGCCAGGTGAATAAAGGGGGCCTAGTTAAATGTGAATTTCAGAGCAGCAACACCAGACCCACTTTTGCTACAGAATTGGTTGATGTTTCTCTGAGATTGACATTTGGCTGGGCATACTATTTGTTGTCGTCTGTGCTAACTCTGGTGGCCTTCCTGGAAGGACATCAGGCAGCTCTGGGAAGATGGATCAGAAGAGACAGATGGAAGCATAGACCCAGGAGGAGGGTCCAGGCTGGGATTCTGTGGCAGGGGGTGGGGCTGCTCTGGATTTTAGTAGGGGGGAGTGGAGGAGGGCATGCTGTAGGGGTGGCTGGGCTAGAGGAAGGGGCAGAACCAGCACTTGAAGAGCTGCTTTGTAACTGGGTTATACTTGGACAGCTTGATTACTGGTTCTCTCTCTCTCTCTCTCTCTCTCTCTCTCTCTCTCTCTCTCTCTCCCTCTCTCTCTCTCTCTCTCTCTCTATATATATATATATATATATATATATATAATATTTAGTTGTAGGTGGACACAGTACCTTTATTTTATTTTTATGTGGTGCTGAGGATGGAACCCAGTGCCTCATGCGTGCCAGGTGAGCGCTCTGCCACTGAGCCCCAGCCCCTCTATCTTCTTTTTTCTTTCTTTATAACCATCTATATCTCCCTCCCAGCCTTCCTTCATAAAATCCCCACTCTGCCTTATCTTAATTGATTGCTCTTAGCATCAACTGATACACTGCCTGCTTTTTACATTATTAATTAATTTTGGTACTGGGAATTGAGCCCAGGGGCATTCCACCACTGAGCTACATTCCCAGCCCTTTTTGCTTTTATTTTGTTGAGATCTGCTCTCACTAAGTTGTCCAGGCTGGCCTTGAACTCGAAATCCTCCTGCCCCAGTCCCCCTAGTCACTGGGATTACAGGTGTGGGTCACAGTGCTCAGCTCCTACACATCCATAAAGAACACCAGATGTTAAAGTAGTACATTTTCCAAACAAGACTTAAAGAAGCAAAATCCTAGTCACATTTTGATATCTTTTTAGATACATTGTGTCTCTAAAGAGAAATGTCTATAAACTCCTGGAACACAGAACAGACAGCTAGGAGCTGTCTGTTTTAAAAAGTCTTTATTAAAATATAATTGACCTACAATAAACTGTACATATTTGAAGGATTTGGCAGATTTTCACCTACGTATACACTTGTGAAGCCATTATCATCACATCAAGATAAAGCACTTAACCATTATCTAACACACTATATATCTTTCTTGTTTATTGTGTTTTTCTTGCTAAAATGAGCCTCTGTTTGTGGAAGGTTTTTAAAACTCCCTTTATTTTCTCCAGTAGCCCCAGCACTCTGGTTCAGGATAGACATCTGGAATGATGCCTAGACCGCAGTGTCGCTTTGTAATAATCATTGGAGGATTTGAGTCCTCCTCTCGTCCACCCAGGCAGTCAGCTTGCCAGACTTCCTGGGTTTTGCCCCCAACATGTACTCTTACCAAGAACATGCACTGGGGCTGTGGATCCCGAATCTGGGAGCTCACACAGGCGTTGTAAATGCAGTGAGTGGGCATAAGGCAAAGTGGGGCGGCGGGGACTGTGGCACACTGAAGAATATGGAGCCCGCACAGTCAGCAAGCTACAGATGGCTGCCTGTTCTGTCCAGAAAGTTTTATGGGACCCCAATCACACCCATTTAGTTACATTTTGTCCACCAGTTGCTTCTGCCTAGACAGTGGGGTTGGGCAGTTGTCCCAGGGAGGATGGTATGGTCAGCAAAGCCTGAAATGGCTGCTATCTAGACCTCAGCCGAAAAAGTTTGGCAATCACTGGTGAGCCTCACGGGACTCGGGGACACAGCCCAGCAGGGCATGGCCAGGTAGGGATGTGGGGCCAGGGCTAACGTGGGAAAGTGAGCTTTCCTGATTTTTTTTTTTAATGAAGGCAAGTAATATGATATTTTTCTAAAAAAACAAGAAGGTTGGCAAAATTATCTTACAAACTGGATACAACTCAGAAGCCATTTGTGTCTGTATCAAACTAGGGGCACTGGACGCAGGCAACCTCAGCAAAGGTTCCCGTGTGTCCCAAGCACTTCCCAGAAGTGGCAGAGCCTGGGAACCTGAAGGGGTCATTGGAAAGAGGTGATGATGTGCCAGACAGCTTCCATTTGTCTCCCTCTATTTGTAGTAGTCAGCTCTGGTTAAAAAATAGCCACATAATAAACAACAACCATCAGGGACACATAACAATATTTACCTATTTCCCAAGGTCTGCAGGGGCCTCTGGTGTGTCTAAGGCTCCTCTGTCTGACATGTCTCTCGCCCTGGAGTGAAGATGCTCAGAGCAGTGAGCCCCAGAGACTCAACTCAAAGTGACTTAAGCAAAAAAGAAATGCATTGGATCCCAGGTGTTAAGGCATGGAGGTGTCCAGACTCAAATGGGCTCAGAAGTCTTGTTCTGTTTCCTCCATGCAGGGTTCCCACTCAGACAAGGTGGCTGGGAAGCCTCCGCTCAAATTCTCACAGTTTTCTTTCTTAAATATAAAGTTTCTCTTTCCAGAGGGAGCTCCCCAGAGGCTCAAAACCGAGCCTCCCTGGCTGGGCCTGGGATGCTGCAGCTTCTGTGAGCCAGGGCCCAGTGGGCAGCTGCTAGGGAACTGAGCAGCCAGACCCCACCCCGGGAGGGCATTGTCCATTCCTACATGCAACCGTCAACTCTGTGCGCCTCTGCAGAGTGCCTACTGTATGCTAGGGGCTCCTCCAGGTCTAGAGACTAGAAAAACCAAGGAAATGGGTTCTCCCCAGAACCTCAGAAAGGAAGGCAGCCTGGCTGACCCCTCCACTTCCCCAGTGAGACCCGCTGGAGACTTCTGATCGCCAGAACTATGAGAAAGCCACCAGTGTTCCCTCCACGCGGACCAACAGGCCTCAGCTCAAACAGCCCCTCCTTCAGCTGAATCTCGGGTGCCGTGGCCATGGCCGTCCGTCTTCAACTCTGCGCAGCCTCCATCGGAGCTGTGTCTCTCTGGCGTGTTCAGTTCTTTCCCGTGGGTCCCTAGAATGCAAGCTCCTTAAGAACAAACGATGGCCTACGGGGTTCACCAGCCCACCCCAAGCCTCGTGGGCCGGGCACGGGGTGATGGGTGTCCCACCTCAGTGTGGGATGACTGGTGGCGTCCCACGTGGTGTGTGAGGGTCGGGGTCAGTGCAGGCGCCGTCAGGGGTGGACGGCAGTACCCGGGGATCTCCTGTTGGCGGAGAAAGCCCGGCAAGACGCTGCCAGGAGGGTCTTCCCCCGGGGAGGACTCAGCATGGGGTCCCAGGGAGGCCAGCGGGGCGGTCCCCAGCCTGGCCCTGTAGGCGGGGGCGGTCCCAAGCTCCCCTCCGTCCCGCCTCCAGGCTGGGGGACCTGGGCCGGGCGACGTGGCGGTGGCGCTGGGTGGGGAGAGGGCGGGACGCGGCCCAAAGCGGCCGGAAAGTTTGTTGCGCGGCGGCGGCGGCGCCGGGGACTTGGGTCCCGGGGTCACGCGCGCGGCCCCCAGCGTCCCCAGCTCGCCCGCCGAGTCCCGGTCGCCATGGGTAAGTCGCGATCAGGCTGCAGCGGGACACTGTGCACCTCGTCGCTGCGCCTACCTCCCCACCCCACGCACCCCCCTTCGGCCCTCCGGGTGGCCCCGACCCTCCCGGGGTCGTCCCCCCGGTGGCCGCCCGCTGGACAGCAGGCCGGTGGCTGGGGACTGCGCAGGGGCCTTGGCGCGCTTCCTCCCATCCTCCTTTCTTCTGAGGGAGGGGGAGTGGCTGGGGGTGCTCCTGCCTTGACACCGGCGCCCACAGCCGGGCACTCCTCCGACAGCCCTGGTCACCCAGGCAAGGGATGCGTCTCCGTTCTGAAGGAGAAAGTCATCGGTCAGTTCCCGGAGCACCCCTGTGCTGGACACTACTCCCGGTCTGGGGGTCCTGCCCTGACCTGGCTCAGTGGAGAGCAGAGGAGGAGAGCCCACAACAGGGCTGGGGCAGGCAGGGAATTTCTTTGTCGCTAAGGGGGCCTGATCGTACGGTCTCCTCTGTGTTCAGAAGGTTGGAAGGTCAGCCATCGTTGGCTTTTTAGTGAGCATGTACTGTGTGCCCAGGCATAGGGGCTGGCCATTCCCAGGGAACAAAATGGACAAAGCCCTCTCTCCTGGAGTGGACCTTTGGTTGAGGAGCTAGATAAATAAGATGCCATGGGCAGCAGAAAATGAGGCGTCCAGGGCTGGAGGCCTTGGAGCTGAGACCTTGGAGGAGGCCTGAGATTTGGAGGAAGAGCTTCCCTGTGGCAGGAACATCAAAGGCCCTGAGGCAGGAAAGGGCTGGTGTGGCTCAGGCCAGTGTGGCTGGAGTGCAGTGGACAGGAAGGGAAGGGGTGAGACGATGTCAGAGGGTGAGCAGGGCCAGTGCCCCATGGGCAAGTTGGGATTTTATTGCAGATGGCATGGGAAGCTGGAGGAGGGTTTTAAGCTGGGGCAGGGGGCATGACATGAATTCTCTCTTAAAATCACACTCTAAGTTGTTCAATGGAGGCTGAGGCTCTGAGGTCGGCAGGCATGATAGGTATTGTATCCTATGTAGATAGAGGAGGCTCAGAGAGGGGAGGTGCGTTGCCCAGGGTCACACAGCTATGGAGAAGAGAAGCTGGGGTAGAACCCCAGCAGCCTGGCTCCAGTTTGCACCCCTAACCATTGCACCACCCAGCCTCCTATGCACAGAGCAGGGGCACAGCGGGCAACCAGCCATAGCTCTGACTTCAGTGTCCATCTCTTCACATCCACTGCACACTGCCCCGGAGCCCAAGGCCCTCCCCAGGACACCTGCCCTGGCTCCGCCCCCTGGCTCCTGCCCTCCTGTCCCTCCTATTAATTCAGCAACTATTTACTGAGTGCCTGCGGTGGGCAGAGCCAGGCCTGGGTGGTAGAGGCCAGGGTGTGTCCAACCTAATCACCAGCCGCCTCCACCCTCCCCCGAGTTCCCAGCATGCTCTTTCTGCCGCAGGGTCCAGGGCGCGGGCTCTGTCTATGCACTGGAATTAGGACTGGGGTCCAGCCCCAGTGCTCTCAATTTGTCATGACCGAGGACAGTTTGTCACCTTCTCTGACCTTCACATGGTCCCTTATAAAATACTCTTATCAAAGGGCCGCCTGGGAAGGGGGCAGGGGTGTAGGGGAGAGGGTGAGCAGAAGGGGCTGTGAAACTCCTCCCTCTGCACAAAAGTGCCCGACAGCTGAGAGGGACAGGGAAGTGGAGCCCCTCAGGTAAGGCTGGAGCCGGCCTTGGGTGCAGGCTGGCCCTTCTGACTTCTGACCTCAGGCAAGGCACTGCCGCCCGGGGTCACCAGTTAGTCCACTCCTGGATAATTCAGAGGCACCCCTCATAAGGCTGGGGGAGGATTAAAGAAGGTCTTAAGCTTAGCACTCAGGGCAGCACCCGGTGCGGGGAACACCTCGGGTCAGCCTGGCTGCGGTGCTACCACGCTTCTTATCAGGCCTTGAGGGGGCTGGGTGAGGGACCTGCAGCCGGGTTACTCCAGGTGCTTCTAGAAAAATGCCAGCGCAAACGTGTGCTTTAAAAATTAGGAGTAACCTGTACACCTGCGCTGTCAATATGGTAACCACCAGCCACGTGGCTTGTTTTTAACAAGTAAGTTAATTAAAATAGAAAATGAATTCCTCCATTGCGTTAGCCACCTTTCATATACTCAGGGTCTGCATGGGGTTAGTCACCGCCCTGCCCCATAGACAGACAGAAGTTTCTCTCATTGGAGAAACTTCTAGTAGAAGTGCTGCTCTAAGAAGAATAGAAACGGAGCTGGGTATGGTGGCACACGCTTGTAATCCCAGCATCCCCACCACTGAGGATGCTGAGGCAGGAGGATTGCAAGTTTGAGGTCAGTCTCAGCAACTTGGCAAGATTCTGTCTCAAAATTAAACTCAAAAGGACTGAGGATGCGGCTCAGTGGTGAAGCGCCCCTGGGTTCAACCCCTGGTACCAAACAAAAAAACCCAAAGTGTCAGGAGCAGGTGCAAGCGTATCAGTAACTGTCCTAAGTGAGCAGGGGTTCACTCTTTTAAAGCAAAGACCTTTCTACTGAACTTGTACTTGAAAAATGTTCAACTCTATGCTGTTTTTACAAGAGACACATAAAGGATGAGCCCAGATCAAACGTGTTGGGAGACAGTGGTTGGAGACCGCAGGGACCCCTAAGGCAGGGCGCCCCCTCCATGTTAAATGTGGGTACCTGGGGAGCCTGTAGGGACAAGATCGGTCCAACCGCCGCTGCTGCTGGTGCCTCACCTGTTGACAGTGCCTTGGCCTCCCGGGTGCCTGCGTGCTGCTCCTGTGAAGTTCCTGCTGTAGTTTCTTAGTCACACTCCCCAGAGCCTCACCTGTTTTCTTAGCCGTGTCCAAACCAACTCAAAGTTTAATGATCAACTATTCAGATTTTTTCTTTTTTTGGGGGGCGGGGGGGTACCAGGGATTGAACTCAGGGGCACTGGACTACTGAGCCCCCTCCCCAGCCCTATTTTGTATTTTATTTAGAGGCAGGTCTCACTGAGTTGCTTAGGGGATTGCTTTTGCTGAGGTTGGCTTTGAACTCTTGATCCTCCTGTCTCGGCCTCCCAAACTGCTGGGATTACAGGCGTGCGCCACCACTCCCAGCTAACTATCCTGATTTTATTTCCTGTTTTATTACATCTGTTTTTATATTCATTAATTCCTCTTGTCCTTGGGTTCATTTCATTCTAATTTTTCTAACTGCTTCATTCACAGACTGAATTCATTTATTTTCGGTTATTTTGGAGGTTCTGATGAAAAGTTCTAGTTTCCGTAATTACCTCCCACAGTTTTTGTTATGTGGCCCTTTTATTCTCATTCAATTCCAAATAGGTCGTTATTTCCTCTTGATTTCATCTTTATGCTAAGTTGTTTTAGATGTGTATTTTTGATTTCCACATGTGCAATTGGGAGTGTGTGTTGCTGGTTGTTTTTCTTTTTCCTCTGGATGAGAAATGCATCATTTTAAAAGAGCTTTTCTGCCTGCTGTCATCCCAGCAGCTCTGGAGGCTGAGGCAGGAGGATCACAGCTTCAAGGCCAGCCTCAGCAACTTAGTGAGACCCTGTCTCTAAATAAAATAATTAAAAACCGGCTGGGGATGTGGCTTAGTGGTGAAGTGCCTCTGGGTTCAATCATCCCTGGTACCAAATCAAAAAAAGCTTGTCTGCCAAGCAGGAACCGCTGCCCGCCTTGCTTTTGGCCGCCTCCCCTTGCTCCACAGGGCAAGGGGGGATGAGCTCCAGGCCCCACAGGTGGCTTTCCAAGTGGGGCAGGGGCGTCTGGAGATGGGTGGAAGGAGCCGGTGGAACAGCGAGCCTGGTGGTCCTCCTGTGCAGCTGCCTGGGCACCCGGGGCTTTTCTCTTCCCAACTCTCCTAAGAGCTGGTGAGAAAGCATTTATTAACCCCGTAAGATGAGGACACGGAGGTCATGGGAGGCCATCTGCCCAAGGTCGCACAGAGCAAGCGGTGGAGCTCCCACTGCACCAGGCTCCCAGGCCCGGGGTCAGTCCGTGACGTTCACAGAGCGTTTCCACGTCCCTGTTGGATGCGTGTTCCCATGGGCTCTGGTCGCGGGCAGCGGGGCGTCCTGTTCCCGTTTTACACGTGAGCAAACTGACACTGAGCCCAGGGGGCACTTGGCTCCAGGCAGCTGGGGAGGGCAGAGTGAGGTGCCCACAGGGGCTGCGGCCGCCCTTAACAGCGCACAGATGCCAGGATCCCCCAGGCCGCCAGGGAGCCAGAGGCAGTGACGGAAGATGAGCCCGCCACGCGGGACAGAGCCCACCAGGCAGGACAGAGCCCGCCACAGGACAGACCCGCGCCCCGCGGCAGCCGGGCTCCTATCCGTGCCTGTCCAGCCCCGCGCGGGAGAGGAAGCACCTATCTCCCGGGGCTTCGGGGCATTTGCAGGATTTTTCTTCTTTTTGAGATTCTTGTCTTTTTCGTTTTTCATCTTTAACCAATGGTCCATTCAGACATAAATTCATTTAGGACTAAACGCTTCACAATTCAAAATAAAGAATTAGAGTCACCCCGCGGTTGAGGGGTCCCTAATGAGGGGCTGGCTGCCTCGCGCCCTCCTGATTTCTGGTGTTTTGAGTTGTTTGGTTTTGAGGTACCAGGGATTGAACCCAGGTGTCTACCACTGAGCCACATCCCAGCCCCTTTTTTAAAGGTTCTCTAAAGGAGCTCTACCAACTTCCCAGGCTGGCCTTGACTTGCCTTCTCCTGCCTCTGCCTCCCTAGTAGCTGGGATTACAGACGTGCAGCACCTCCTCCAGGCCCGCCGCTTCCTACATTCACTTACCACACCCTGAAAATTCTCTGCTTGAGCTGAGTGCCATGGCCCAAACCTGTCGTCCCAGCTCCACAGGAGGCTAGGGCAGGAGGATGGCAAGGTCGAGGCTGGCCTGGGCAACTTAGTAAGACTCTTGGGAAAAAAATCTCTATTTTACTTTAAAGGAGGAATTGTTAATCTACTAATTTTTAAAAGATGGACATTGAAGCAGATCTTTTATCAATGCATCCATGAACTCTCCGGAATTTCTTCCTAACATTTACTGCAGTGTCCTTTCCTCATTTCTATGTAAATTAAAACGACTTGGGAGGCCTACAGGTTCCTCAATAAAAAAAAAATGGAAAAGAAGAGGTGAATGGACCTTAGTGGCCACACCCCCTCAGGTAGCATCTGCACAGGACAGCAAGAGTAAAATTTAAAATAGGTCACCTCACTCCCAGCGCAAGCCACCAGAGACTACCATCCACCGAGAATGAAACCGTTCCTGTCCTGGTGACCCACAAGGCCCCACGTGGTCTGGCCCTGCCTGCTTCTCCCCTCATAGTGTCCCATCTCTCGCTCGCTGGGCTCGGGCCGCTCTGGCCTCCTTGCTGTTTAGCCCAGTGATCAAAGCCTTCATCTTCTAGCCATCTCAGCCCTGCCTCTTACTTGCTGTGTGACTGTAGGAAAGCTGCTTAGCCTCTCTGCACCCTGGAGGAGGATGCTCATGGTACACTGTGAGACTAATGTGTATACAGCTCTTGAAACAGGGGCTGGCATTTAGCCAATGTCATAGGTAAGTTCCAGCTGTGAATATTCATAATTGCTCAAACACACCTCGAGCCCTTCCGACCTGTGTCCCCTCGGTCTGGTCTGCTGTTTGCCACACTTTCCCCATGGCCTTCGCCCCCACTTTATCTGGATCTCTGCTCAAATGTCCCCTCCCCAGAGGGGCCTGAGCTGACCCTATTTGAATTGATACTCCTCTCTCACTCCCAAACCCGTGTCCCTGCTTTGTCCGTGACATTTATCAACACCTGAGGTTACATTATGAACTTATTTATCTTGTGCCTGTTTCTACTAACACCTCGGTCCCTGGAGACTCCGCTGATTGCCAGCCTCAAGGACAGGGCCTGGCATGTGGCAGATGCCAGATAAATAAATGTGGATGGATGGACGGGCAGACGGGTTGTGGGTGGGTATGTGAGGAGAGGGAATAGGGGAGGGGCGGATGATGGGTGGATCTGTGGGCAGGTGCCTGGGCGAGTGGGGGGTAGACACTGGATGAGTGGACAGATGGCTGGGCGGGGGGTGGATGGAGGGCTGGCGGCCCCAGGGGAGGTTGGACTCGGGTGCTTTGGCGAGACACCTCTGAACCCTCCTTTCACTTTTGCCTTCCAGGCCGGGCCCCGCCTGCGCTGCCCCTGTGTGCCTCTGTGTCCTTGCTGGGTGGCCTGACCTTTGGCTATGAGCTGGCGGTCATATCGGGTGCGCTGCTGCCCCTGCAGCTTGACTTTGGGCTCAGCTGCTCAGAGCAGGAGCTCCTGGTGGGCAGCCTGATGCTGGGCGCTCTGCTGGCCTCCCTGGTGGGGGGCCTCCCCATTGACCGCTACGGCAGGAAACGAGCCATCCTGGGGAGCAACCTGGTGCTGCTGGCCGGCAGCCTGAGCCTGGGCCTGGCGCGCTCCCTGCCCTGGCTGGTGCTGGGCCGCTCGGCCGCCGGCTTTGCCATCTCGCTGTCCTCCATGGCCTGCTGCATCTACGTGTCGGAGCTGGTGGGGCCGCGGCAGAGGGGAGTGCTGGTGGCTCTCTACGAGGTGGGCATCACCGTGGGCATCCTGTTGTCTTACGCCCTCAACTACGCCCTGGCCAGTGCGCCCCGGGGCTGGAGGCACATGTTTGGCTGGGCCGTGGCGCCCGCTGTCCTGCAGAGCCTGGGCCTCCTCCTCCTCCCTGCTGGTGCAGACGACACTGCCGCTCACAGGGACCTCGTGCTGCTCCAGGGAGGTGAGGCCACCAAGCTGGGCCCCGAGAGGCCACGCTACACCTTCCTGGACCTCTTCAGGGCCCGGGGCAACATGCGAGGCCGGACCGCCGTGGGGCTGGGGCTGGTACTCCTGCAGCAGCTCACAGGGCAGCCCAACGTGCTCTGCTACGCCTCCACCGTCTTCCGCTCGGTCGGCTTCCGCGGGGGGTCCTCAGCTGTGCTGGCCTCCGTGGGGCTCGGCGCCATGAAGGTGGCGGCCACCTTGATGGCCGTGGGGCTGGTGGACCGTGTGGGCCGCAGGGCCCTGCTGCTTGCCGGCTGTGCCCTCATGGCCCTGTCGGTCAGTGGCCTGGGCCTTGTCAGCTTTGCTGTGCCCGTGGACTCTGGTCCAAGCTGCCTGGCCTTGCCCAATGCCACTCGGCAAGCTGGCCTCCCTGGAGGCTCTGACCTGCTACAGGACTCAGCTCCACCTCCAATGCCGAGAGCCGGCGGGGACCCACAGGAGCCCGCCTTGTCCGCCTCCAAGAAAGCCAAGACCCGTCCAGCAGGCAGAGATGTCCGCACCCCTGCCCCGCCTGCCCTGAGCACCTCCTCCCCGGTGACCCCTGGTCCCGCCCCACAGCAGGTGGTGCTGCGCTGGGCCGCCCTGGTCTGCATGATGGCCTTTGTGAGCGCCTTCTCCTTCGGATTTGGCCCAGGTAAGTGGAGGGTCTGTGCAGGTCAACCTGGAGCTGCCCAGCAGCCAGTGGGAGGCCCTGTCAGTCTCAGGGGCTCTGGAGGTGGGTGGCTCGAAGGGTCAGGGCCCCTCCCTGGCTTGCAGTTGTGCCTCCCACGGCCAGGGCCTAACTTTAGGTATATATATATATATATATATATATATATATATATATATATATATATATATATATATATATTTTTTTTTTTTTTTATTTTTATTTTTTTCAAAGGTTTTCCAACTAAAGTTCAGGGCTTGTAAAACCTGGCTCTGCCCCTAGATGGCGCAGGCAGCAGGGTTTACTTGACAGGAACGTAGTGAATGGGGTGGGAACCGATCATCCCAGTTCCCCCAGGACCTCGCCATCTCAGCACTGAAGGTCTTGTGTCCAGGAAACCCCTCGTCCTGGGCAAACAGACATCGCGGCCATCCTAACACGATTCTTGCAGTGGTGTGGGGTGTGCAGATGTGTGGGGTGCAGATGTGTGGGGTGCTTGGTATCCGGAGCCTGACGTCCATCCATGGGGGCTGCCTACTTGGCTGCTGGTGCCAGCCCCGGCCTCCGCCCAGAAGCCCTCCTGCTCTCCTGTCCTAGTGACCTGGCTGGTCCTCAGCGAGATCTACCCTGTGGAGGTCCGAGGGAGAGCCTTCGCCTTCTGCAACAGCTTCAACTGGGCCACCAACCTCCTCGTCAGCCTCTCCTTCCTCGATCTCATTGGTGAGTCCTCTGGCCTAATCCCTCCGCCCAGGGCCTTCTAGATGCAGGGACAGTGTCCACCAGACTGGGTCAAAGCGCCCACAGCTGTTGGTTGTAAGTGACAGAGAACCACCCAATGCAGCCCAGTTTATAAGCAAGAGGGAGACATTTGTCTTAAGTCGCCGAAAAGAAGCGGGAGAGCTGATCCCCAGATCCAATACTGTTGTCAGCTGTCCTTCCCTCCCTGTCGGCTCTGCCCGCCACCTGGGGGCTTCGTCCCAGGCAGGCCGCTGCTCGTGGTGCAGATGGCAGCCAGCAGGCCTCCTCGCTTGGCAGCCCAGGAAGGGAAAAGCCTTTCCTAGTGGCTCCTGCAGCTCCTGGGACCGACCCTCACTGGCTCAGCACGTCACGTGCCCATCCGGGGCCAGCCGCTGTGGCTGTTGGGGTGCCCAGCTCCTCACTGTGGGCCCACGGCAGGGATCTTAAAGCTCACTTTCCTACTCCCCGTGGCCAAAGGCTCAGCCAGCTTGTGGAGCCGTGGGACACCGTGGTGGCAGGAGCTACGCACGGTGACCGTCTCCCAGCCCAATCTCAGGGGACCTGGGCTCCCCCGCCTCTTCTCCAGCAGCTCTCTGTATGGAATGAGTGAGGACAGGAGGGGCGGGGGGGGGGGGTTTAAGGCATGTGACCTCCTATGACCATCCGTTTCACAGATGGGGACTGTGCTCCCAAGTCCACCTGGTCCTTAGAAGCTGGAGCCGCCCTCCTGACCCCTGCCCAGCGCCCCCCTCAGGAGAGCAGCTCCAGCCCTCAGGGAGGCCACTTGCGGGAGGCGTGGCTGTGGCTGGCGGAGGAGGAGATAGCACCCAAACATAATTTGTGCTCCCTCCTAGACAGAGTGCCGTCCTTCATGGCCTGCTTTCTCTGTCTGGGGCTGACCGGTGGCTCTCAGGGACTCCAGGTCGTCCCTATCCTGGTCACTGACCCTGGGACCCGCCCCCTCCCAGGCTCCAGGAGGAGAGGGGCGGAGTGCTGAGCCCTGCTGCAGGCAGGCATCCCGGTTCTGTGGGCAGCGCCTGAGTGAGTGGTCTCTCCCCGCATGCCATCCCCCCGCTGCGTTGTGGACGGCCAGCCTGCCTCTGAGACCACCAGTCAATTCTTGCTTTCAGGTGTTAACCTGATGGCCCCTTGGCCACTCTGCAAAGCCACCACCCACAGCCTGTGCTCGGGGTGAGCTGAGTCTCAGAGCTTCACCTGGACCCAGGTAGCCCAGGCCACAGGGCCAGGGCGCTGGGCTCCCTGCCCACTTCCACCCACCCTCTGTTGCCAGGTGCCATTGGCCTGTCCTGGACCTTCCTGTTCTACGGACTGACGGCTGTCCTCGGCCTGGGCTTCATCTACTTAGTTGTTCCTGAAACCAAAGGCCGGTCCTTGGCCGAGATAGACCAACAGTTCCAGAAGAGTCGGTACGAGGTGGGCGGGCAGGTCTGGGGAAAGGGCCCGGTGCAGGCAAAGCAAGCACCCTACCAACTGAGCTATGTCCCCGCCCAAAGAACAGTGGGATCTTCAGACCACGGGCTCTTAGAGTCGTGGAACCACCGAGAAACACACAATAGAACTGTGACCTTTAAACACTGCCAGTGGGCTTCATCCGTGCATCCAGCAGACACTGTGGGGTCCTCAGGGCTGCCGGGCAGTGTTAGGGGTCATGGCTGAGGCTAAGAAAGGCCAGAACCTGGACCCCTAGAGCTTGCGTCTAAGTGGGGGAGGGGACAGAAAGCAGTGAGCCAACAAAGGCACAATCAGTGTTTTAGCCGGCAATGTGTGACTAGAAGAGACTGGAACAGGGCATGTTCGCCATAGAGCCAGACTGGAGGAGAGTAGGACAGAGGAGGTAGGGGCTCTGGCTAGGTCTGAGTGGTAGGTCAGAGGGAAGACTTGTGTGAGGAGGCACGACTTCAGGTAGAAGGAGGAGGCTGCCATGTAAGATGAGGGAAGGAGCTTTCCAGCGGGAGGGAACAGCAAGTGCAAAGGCCCTGAGGTGGGAGCATGTCTGGCCTATGCCAGAACCAGGAAGCCAGTGTGGCTGGAGCAGAGGGAGGGAGGGAGGACAAGCGAAGACTAGATCAGCCAGCCGGGAGGAGCCAGGTGTAGGAAGGTCTTTAGGACATAAAGGAGAGTTCAGAACCTTAGCGCCATCTTAGGCTGTTCAGTTAAAGAAGGGTAGACATGGAGCGGTGGGAGGCCCCGGGAACTGCAGTCCTAAGCTTGCCGGGCACGCCTCCCTGCTCCCTCTGTGGCGCAGGGCTGTAGTCGCCAGTTGCTGATGCCCATGCTATTTCTGGGAGGCCCTGGAAGATGTTTAAAACCATTCTGAGTTAGAGCCAGCTTCTTTAACTGCCTGCCAAGCCCCATCCTAGTCGGGCTCCTGAAACCGGGAATATGCAGGACGAGTGACCGACCCTGTCCCCAGCCCAGAGTGCTCTCTGCCAGCTGCCCATCAGTCCCTGTGGCGTGTGTGTGTGTGTGTGTGTGTGTGTGTGTGGTGTGTGTGTGTGTGGGGGGGGGTTCAGGACAGGGGTGACGTCTGTGCTCCATGAGGTCATCCAGGGCCCAGGCTCTGCCATCCCTTCAGCCTCACCTTTCTGGCCCCAGCACCTTCCCGTAGGAGGGGTGGGGGGAGGAGAGCACCGTCCTCAAGGGAGGGAACTCCTCCACACCTGAGCGGCCATAGAGAAGCCCAGCCAAACCCAAGGGTTCCCTTAGGAGAGCGCTGCACAAAATTTCTGCCAAAGTGGTTTTCTCGGGAGAAGATTCCAGACTCATCTTCCAGAACGAAGAAGGGAAGGGAGGCGGCAGACGGGCGGGTGGAAGAGCTCTGGGGTGAGGCAGGGTGTGGCTGCAGCTGAGAAGGTCAGGCTGGATGGGGGGCTCAGGGACACCTGGGGCCAGCCCTTAAGGACAGGCTGGGGCTGCCACAATCGTGGGGCAGGCAGCGAGTTAGGGATGTTGGCAGGGCTCAGAAGGGGGGTGTGTGCTTCACCACCCCAGTCGAGGGCCCAGTTCAGAGGTCCCTGATATCGGAGCCACAGAGAGGGAGAGACCCCCCCCTGGGAGCACGGGGGCCGGGGCAGCTCAGGAACTAAAGGGAGGCTAGGCACCGGCTGCGTGTAGCCCTCCGCTGCCTCTCAAGACTCCCATTCCCAGGAGAAATTGTGACTGGCCGAGCCTGCATGTGTCCACCCCCAGCCTCCGACTCTGTCAGGATGGGGCCGGGCTCCTCGATGGGAGTCCTACAAGACCACCTGCAGCGAGGAGCCGTAGCTCCCCCAGGAACGAGGAGCCACATCCTCTTCTGGGGGGCTCCTTCTGTCCGGGGTCTCGGGCCTCAGATGTGCTTCTTGGAACTGGTGACCCTCGTTATGCAGGCTCAGAAGAGACCCCCTCTGTGCCCTGGGGCTCATCGGGAGGAGGAGCTGCATGAGGTGTTCCCCCGTTGCTCAGGGTCCCTTCATTCAGCTTTCAGCAAAACTTCCAAGTGCCCCCCGGGGAGCCAGGCTCCCGAGGAGACACAGGGACAGACCCAGGACCAGGACAAGACAAGTCTCTGTACTTGGAGGGCAGGTCACATTTTATTGGAAAGGAGAGAAAGTGGCTGTAAGCCGGAGGCGCACACAGAGAGGGTCATTTCCGAGCAGTGTTGGGGCCTGAAGAGGTCAAGGCAGCTCAGCCACCAGCAGGCGCCGCTGATGGGGGACGGCGCGAGCGCGGGTGTCCTGGCTCTGTCCCTGGTGCAGGTGCGTCGTGAGTGCTCCGTGATGTTCTGGGGTATCCCTTGCCCTCACTGCTCTTCCCAGGGCCTGGGGCAGCCCAGGGCACTTCACGGGTCATCAGCAGGGGAGGGACAGGGTCGGGCTCTGCGTTTGGAAAGGCCACTCTGGCTGCGATGGAGCAGGGTGGACACAGGCCACCTGGAGGGAGCTGTTGGGGGTCCAGGGGAGAGAAGTGGAAATGCAGGCGGAGGCAGGGGATGGGAAGACCCCAGGCTGCCACCTTTGACCCTCTCCTCTCTCTCTGACAGGCTCACCCTGTGCTTTGGCCACAGACAGAGCTTGGCTGGTGTCCAGTACAGCCGCCTGGATGTCCCTGTGGCCTCCTGAGGAGTCCCCTGCCTGGACATGCTGAGGCGTTGATGTCAGAGACCGTCTCCGCTTCCTGCCTGCTGGGCCCCAGAGCACAGGCTCCAGGTGTCCTTGAGAGCCACCCCTGCCCCAGAGGAGGCCATGTCTGCTGGGGGGAGACAGATGAAAGTCTGAGAACCCCAAACTGCTCGTTTTGAGTGTAGCACCTGGAGGGCCTCAGTTTCCCCTCCGACTCGGCCCACGTCTACACTATTTGCCATGAGGGTGTTTTGGGAGTCTGGTTGCGCTCTGGGCCTTCTCAGATGATCTCTAGGCTGCAGATCCTGGTGGAAGTGTTTCCTGGAATCGCCCCTAAGTCCCGTTGAGGAGACCCCAATCTCTGCTCTCTTCCCATCTGCCTGGGAGCCGGGGGAGGGGACGCTGCCCCTGGGCGCCCATGTCTCCGCCCCACTGGCCCTAGATATTCATCATTCACCCACAACTCTGCCTACTTTACAGGAGGCCTGAGTCTTGTCCTGGTCCTGGTTCTAGTGACACTATCACGACCGTGGGCCTCAGTTTCCCCACACGTGCAATGGGAGGCCTGGACCCGTTGATTTAAAATGTCTCCTGACCCCAGTGGGCTGGGTTCTAAGAGCCCATCAGACTCGAAGCCTGGGCTCTGCCCTCAATTAGCTGGGGTTCTGGGGAACGTGGGTTCCAGTCAGCAGACGGTAGACAGGGTTCCACAGCTGTGCACCCCGAAATCCAAGAGCCAGCCTGGGGCCATTCCAGGGTGGTGCAGGAGGGGCTCCAGAAGGACAGGGTGGGGGCCCACAGACCTGGATGTCAGTGGGTGTGGCCTCTGCTTGGGCAGCTGTTGACCTTAAGTAACAACTCCCTCAAGCCTCGTTTCCTCGTCTGTGAAATGGGGCAGTTGTGCCCCTGGGGGTATATTTAACCCGGTCCCCCTGAGAAGGATCTCCAGTGGGTCCCATTCATCTAACCCGGCCTGGGGAACTTCTGTGCGCCAGGGCCCCCCTTGGGCACGTTGTCAAGGGCCAGGTTTCAGGGGCAGGTCGGATGAGATGAGCAGGTAGCCGGGGCCAGAGGTCACTTAGGGAGGGACTGACTGGACAGAGCTCCCAGATCTGGGGGGCAGGGCACGAAGGAGACCAGAGGTGCGGGTCTCCACACTGTGCATGGGTGCACACACCCCACCAGTTGTCCTTTCTTCTCTGTTTCTAGATGTTTCCCTCAGATTCAGTGCTGAGCCACATCTGGTTTGTTCACTTTTAACAACATTTTGTTAAATTGTCAAAGAGTTTTTCAAACTGGTCATTTGTAAAAATAAAACAAATGAGAAAATATTGTGTTATTAAAAATGATGATTGAAATTATTTGAACTTATAAGCAAACCATATTAAAAAGCAAAGTCACTGATATTCAAAACTCATCACCTCCTGATTACTTGGCTACGTGTTACTGTTAACATGTCTGATAGGGATGGAGGGGAGGGAGGAGGGCAGAGGCTGAGGGAGAGGCTGAGGGAGAGGTAGAGGGGAGATTCTTCCTGGTTCTGCGTTGCTCCTGTCCCCTCGGGTGCTCATGCTGGCCCTGGGCGCGGATCTGCATCCCAGGTCAGGGTGGGATTCAGCGTTTTGTGGATTTTTCGGAGCTGAGAGCCGCGGGGCCACCTTTGCACATCTGGTGCTGTGTGCCGAGGATGCTCTTCCTCGGATCTCTCCACGGCTCACGCTGGTCCTTCATGCACATCCTGCTGAGATGCACCTCTTCAAGGAGGCTGCCCCGCCACCCTGGCTTCTCCTGCTGAAATGTATGAGAGGCCTGCCTCTGGCCCGCCCATCTCTCAGGGCCCTTCCTCTTTTCTCGTCCCCATCACTAGCGGCCCTGTCCACCACCTGTCTCCTCCTCCTTCCCTCCTCCGTGCGTCCCTCTGTCTGTCCTTACTCCCTTTTATCCTCTCCCTCCTTTTTCCTTGCTAATGTCACCAGAATGTCAGCTCCCTGAGGAAAGGGACCTCATCTTGTCACTGCTTTGTCCCCAGGGTCTAGAACTGCCTGGGTGTAACATGCATCTGAGGGGAAAATAAATCAAGATCATTGGCTTTAAAATACACGAAGTGGAAAGTAAGTCTAAGAACGAACAAACAAAAAGCAGCCCGTGTGCCGTGTGTAATCTATGTAGCACGATTTGGCAAATAACCGGAAGGTTCTAGGCGATGCGCCCACGTTACAGAAGGGCTGTGTGAGACCAGGGCTTAGCAGTGATCCTGGGGCTGCCGGGAGGAGGAGGGCTTCCCAGCACAGCCCTGCAGCGGGGGACACCACCCCTCTCTCCTGGTAGGTCTCGACCCCAGGAGGCTGAGCTTGGCTGAGGGAGGAAGGACGAGGAGACAGTGGGGTGCAGTGACGGAGAGGGACAGCCAGCAGGGTTTGCTCCGACGGGATCTGGCTTCCTGCTCTCAGGGGCTGGCTGCTGTCGCCAGCTGTTCACTGCTGTGAGGAAAATCCCACCAGGAACATCTTAGAGGAGAAGACGTTCATTTGGGGCTCACAGTTTCAGGGGTTCCGTCCACAGTGTGCGACTCCATGGCTCCGGGCCCAAGTGAGGCCGGGCGTCGTGGTGGAAGGGCCCGGAGCAGCTCTGCTCCCCTCCGCTGGCCAGGAAGCAGGGAGCCAGAGGGGCCCAGGGGAGACGCAGCCTTCCAGGGCAGGTCCCGGTGACCCATCCCCTCCTGCCATCCAGCTGCCATCCAGGTAGCCCACCCAACTAGGATGGAGTGACCAGGCCACAGCGCTCCTAACCGGACGTCCCTGCACTAACACGGGACCTTCCTGGGACACCTCAGGTCCAAATCAGAACCCAGAAAGCAGTGATCACTTCGGACACAGGAAGACACCATTAGATCGACAGCGACCTTGTCTCATAGCTCTCTCTAAGCTTGGCCCTCAGACCTGAGCCTGTGGCCTGTGTGTCCAAAAGGGAGCCAGGAAGTGGGTTCAAACAAGGCCCGGCCCAGGGCTTTTCCTTTGAACCCAAGGACACGATGGGGTTGACATGGTTACACGGTGTTTGTGACCCTCCAGCCCTTCCCAGCACTGTCTGGGTCCCCTGCCGCTCACAGGTCAGCACAGCCTGGAGGTGAGATGCCAGGGAGATCATAGCACCAAGAGAGACAGAGGTGGCCTGGAACGTTGGAGCCCCATAGAGAGGGACATTGACAAGGGAGCCTGGCAGCCAGTGTCCTGGGAGGAAGAAGTGGATGGTGGCATTGGGAAGGGTGGCTTCCTCCAGGAGAGGAAACGGCGGTGTAGACATGGCTGCCACTTTTCTGCCCCTTCTGAAGGGCAGGGGAGAGGGGGGACCCGAGAGGGGACAGGAGGTGCAGCCAAAGCCTTGGCACCTGAGGTCATCAGCCCTGGGTGGGGTGTAGGTACGTGCCTGCGGTGCCCGGGAGGGAGCAGGGCAGAGGCAGTGGGTGACTCGCGCTCTCCTCTCCTGGCCCTCCTAGGCTGGCTGGACTTGGCAGCCTGGACCCCTCCTCCTCCACCCTGTCACAATCACTGCAAACGTGACTCTTTTTCAAGGTTTATCACAAACATGCACTTCCTGGTCAGCAGGCCCTGAGGTCTCCACGCCTGCTCCAGAGCTACCCAGGGCCACACGCCCCCACCTCCCTGAGACCCTGACCTCTAAACACCAAAGCCTGGCCACACCCCTCTGCCTGGACCTCTTCCTGCCTTGGCCTTCCTTTCTGTCCAGCCTGGACTCCACACCTCACCTTGCTGTCCCTCCCTCGCAAGCATCCTCCTGTGCCCTCGCAGCAGCGGTCCTGGTTAACTTACACACCTGCCTTCTCTGTTTGCACGTGGGCTGTGAATGGTGCCGAGGAAAGTCATTCAGCTTGGCAAACAAGTTTCACTTACAATCCACAGGCTCAAGCCTCACACTCGCCCACAGCTCTCCCGTGGCCCGTGGCCCTGCTCCCCGACTCAGCAATTTCACATTTTTGGGGGGGGGGGGGATGGAGGGTATCAGGGATTGAAATCAGGGGCACTCAATCACTGCTGAGCCACATTCCCAGCCCTGTTTTGTGTTTTATTTAGAGACAGGGGCTCACTGGGTTGCTTAGGGCCTCGCTAAGTTGCTGAGGCTGGCTTTGAACTCATGATCCTCCTGCCTCAGCCTCCCGAGAGGATGGGATCAATTTCACATCTTGTGAGAAATCTCCCCTGCCGCTTTTATCTCCCTCACTCTCTACCGTTGACCTTGCCTCTTACCTCACTGGATGAACAGAGGTTCTAAGAATAGGGACAGAGGCTGCCCCTATGATATCTGTAATCTCTTTTATGCATGGTAGTAGAATCCCCCATGTTTACCTGGGAACATGGCTGCCCAGGTGAAGTACTACATTTCCCAGGCTCCTTTGCAGCCAGGCATGGCCATGTGACCAAGTCCAGGCCAAGGTGGGTGCATGGAAGTTAATGTCTTGGACGTCTAGTGGAGCCCTGTGGCAGACAAGACTAGTTGTCCCCCCAAATCAACTTTCCCTTGTTTCCACTTAGTAATAGGAATCCCGTGATGTTGCTGGGTACGAGGCCAGCCAGCTAAAGATGACATTTCCCAGCTTCCCTTGCAGTAGAGGGGCCACGTGACTAGGTTCTAGCCAATGGGATGTGGGCAGGAGCACTCTGTTCCTCTTTTGGGTCACTCTGTAAAAGGAAGCCGGGTGCACTCCATGCCTGCAGGCCAGGAGGGTTGAGGCGGTTAGCTTCTGCCACCAGAAAAGGGGACCCAGAAGCCACAGATGGAAGGTGTCTGGGTCCAAGGATAACTTTGTGGATCACTTTATCTGATTGGCCCTGTTCACACACACTGCTACACTGTGACCTGAGTGACCTTCTACCTTCTTCCAGCCGCTAGGTTTTAGGTCCCTTCTGTCACAGCAAAGTGACCTGTGACTTAGCCTAATGCCCTGAGAAGGGATGGACATGCCCCCTCACACCCTCCATTCTGGCTGGTGGAAATGGGGGTGAGTCAGGGGCCATGTGAGCCCAGAGAGAAGGACAACTTCCCGGGGACCGTGGAACGCCAGCTCAGGATGTTCCTGCCGACTTCACGAGCAGAACCGCCGTCCTGGCCTGGAGCGTCGAAGAGAAGCACTTCTATCCTGCCGAAGCCACGGCTACTTCCCATCTGTCACTTGAACCTGAACTTAGTCTGGCCAACACAGAGGGCCTCCACCCAAAGTACAGCCATACCCTGGTCTCCACCAGCCCTCCCTCCTCTGGCCCACCATCTCCACTTGGGTTGTGGGGCTCCCGCTGCAGCCGTGGAGGGGGGCTGACCCTGCTCTCTCGAGGCTGGCTTAGTGCTGGGGAGAGTTCTCGCTTCCTCTGAACTGGACCATTGGCCACGAGAGTGGATTGCTACCGAGCACGGCCGGGGCCTGTGTTGTGTCTTCTGCACTCACCTGCTTGCTCTCCACGTTTCCACCATGTGATGATACAACAGGAGACCCTCCAGAGATGAGGCTGCCTCCTCTGGGACTTCCAGTCTCCACATCTAGAAGCTAAAAAACTTCTTTCCTCTATCAACAATCCAGTCTGTGGTATTTTGTTATAGCCCCAGAAAATGGACTTGGCAGAGAGGCCCCTTGGCAGAAGTGGGGCCAGCTGCTGAACATCACCGGACACAGTTCCCACTACACCATCCCAGCCTCGTGTGCGCCCACCTCTGCTTGCCCATGCCCACAGGTGGGGTCCATGCAGGACCGTCCCTCTGCTGCCTACTCTGCAGTGGGCTGCCTGCCCCGACGTTCACATGGGATGTGGGAGCCAGCCTGCTGACGAGGCACACAGCGGAGAGAAGGGCAGGGTACAGATGGGCTACACAGAGAGGAAGTGACGTGGCCAAGAGGAAGGGCCTAGGGTGGGCACAACTGTGCAGGCAGGAGGCCCCGTTTGAGTTCCTCCTCAGCTTCTTTGCTGGTTTTGTGAACTCAGGCCAGTGAATTCACCTCTCTGAGCCTCAGTTTCCCCATCTATACAATGGGGGCAGCAGAAGTCCCTATTTCTAAGGGCTGCAGGAGGACGTATTGAGAGCTGGGTGAGAAGCCACTGGGCTAGCTGAAAAGTGAGGCTCGGCCCAACTGTCCCCTAGAGGTGGGCAGGGCTTCCTGCCCCTCCCGAGGGCTGTCCCCGCTCCGGCTGGACCCAGGCCCCACTCAGTTTCATTTCACTTTCCAGCCCAAATATTTTTTCATCTGTGGTCTGGGAGGAGGGCGGAATTTTGATGTGAGACACAAATTTTTTCACAGGGCCACCCTCTGAAAGTATTTCCAGGCACTCACATGCTGGGCCCCGTCCAGGAGAGAAAATAATTTACTGTGGCTGGCTGGGCACACGGTTTGGGAGGTTCTTTCCCTCCTCG